AGGAATAGTTCAATTTTTTTTAATATTGGCCCTTTTTAGAGGTATCAAAAAGCCATGGCTATATTCAGTTGAATTGGATGTGGGATACTATTTTATGATTTAAGTTTATATGAAAAGTATCTAAAACAGTACATTTACCAGTTTTAAAAGACATGTTTCTTCAGTTATCTTAAACTGTTTGCAATTTTTAAATTACTGCTAACTGTATTTATCATGTTGAGCATTGAGTAACATATTGAATTGTTGAATCAGTATGATGTACACCTGAAACTTAATATAATATTGTCTGTCAGTTATACTTCAGTAGTAATATATATATGAACAGCAATAATAAAAAGTAAAAGTTTAAAAAAATTGCTGGGTTTTTTTAGCACCAACCCTAATTAGACTGTACATTTGTTGAAGATAAGATCAGTAAACACTCATCAAATTTTTATCATTTAATTCCTTGCAGTCAAACTTTACCCAGTTTTTTTTTTTCCCCCTTAAATCACAGAAAACATTCAGGAGGAATACTGTTGCAGCTGAAATTGGTGGGGAGTTCACTACTTTTTTCAGTTAAATTATTTTAAAATGTTCTTCATTGATGGAAAGCAGTTACATTTTGAAATGCATTGTTTCTAATGACATTTCTATAGTTTTAAACTTTTTAATGAATTTCACATAGGACAAATGGTAATTTGTATATAAATAACTTGGTAAAAGTTTTGCTTAATGTAAATATAAATAGTCACAATTAATATAGACCCACCCATATATTTTTGATAATTTTTCATGTATGGTAAAAGTTAAAGTGGCAAACTGATATTCTGATATAAAAAAGTTTCGAGAGTCAATGTGGGAAAATAGGTTTTTAGACTTTCTTAAAAGACTTTGTTAAAATTTTAGAGCAAAATTTTCTTGATATCATTGTTTGATCTAACTTTACAGTCTTTGATAATAATGTTTTAGAAAATGTGCACAATCAAAATTGGTAGTTATAGCCTCTGTTAACATAGACAGTATATGTTTTAAATCTTCATGTATGCCTGTTTTGACCCAAATCTGTGGAAGTATCATGTGTTAAGTTCTCTTTGTCTCCCTTTGTTCATTTACAGCTAAGTGACCTTGTTATTAAAGTATATGCATATATGGAATCTTGTGTACTTGGTGGTGGTTGTTTTTTCTTTTCTTTTTAAGTTTTTGTTTTAGTTAAGGGGGAGAGCATTGTTCTGTGAGATGTGATTACAAATCAGAGACAGAGTCTATAAACCACATGTAACCATTCTGGATGAAGGAACAGCTCCCATTTATTTAGTAATATAGTATTTTTCAAAATTATTCCAAATTAAGATTACTAACTTCCAAATGCTTTATACTTTTTATAATACCTATCTGCAAGAAAGATTTAAAACCAAAGAGGTTATGTCAGATAATGGGGCTTATGACTATGAGTTAGTCACTACAGTTAATAATGTGAGCTCTGGAGTCAAAGGCCTGGCTCTGCCACTCATTTGAGATCTTGGGCAAGTTATTAACCTTCTGTGCCTTTTTTTTCCTTATTTATGATATAGGGATGAGAGTAGTATCTGCTTTATACTACATATGAAATGCTCATAACAGTGCCTGGCATGTGGCAGGTTAGTCGATAAGTGTTAGCTGCAGGGCTGCCATGCTTTATAGCTCCCTGGATTGTGCAGTGCATAGTCTGCCTAACTGTATGCTACAGCTGTGGTTAGCTGTTGTTATTCTCATTACTATTATTATCCCATTCCTGTCTCTCGTAGGCTAGTTTTTTCCTTTTGGAATTATAACCAGTGTTTTTTTTTTATTTTCCCACTCTTAGTTGTGATAGATGTTCAGTGTGATAATTGTATTTAAAGGTAACTTAAGAATAATTTGAGTCTAAAATGCAAAAACAGTAACATATTTTTTATATGATACCCATTTTAAAAAGCATCCTGAATAATGAATTAACACTGATTGATAAGTTCCATTACTGAGAAAAGAAAAAAAATATGTTTTATCTTCTTTCACCACTGTTAATAAGGAGTGATATTTTAATTGTTTTTCATGATGCTTCTATTTAGCAACCTACTCTTTGGACCTGATTGTACTGTACAGCATTGAGAAATTCATAGACCTGGGATTTGCCATCATCATCCAGGGGAATAAAAGATTCAGGTCTTTTTTGTTTTTAAGTAGGCTCCACGCCCAGTGTGGAGCCAAATGTGGGGCTTGAACTCATGGGCCTGAGATCAAGACCTGAGCAGAGATCAAGACGGACACCTAACAGACTGAGCCATCCAGGCACCCCTAAAAGATTCAGTTTCAATGTGAATAAATATTTTAGTAAAAGAACATTGTTTCAGCATAGACACTGATACTTTACTTTTAAATGTAGGGGGATTTGGGCTTTTAGGGGGTTTTTTGGAAAGCTTTTTCAGTTCGGTCTAAATTGTAACTAAAAAGAAACACTGAAAGGGAAAGACAGGTATTAGTGTATTTCAGGTAAGCAGATATTTAAATACAGTGTTTTCCCCTAACCAGAAGGGTTAGTTTCTGAAAACCCTGCTGGTGGTTGAGGGATTTAAGACCTTATATTCATTCAGGAAATGTATCTTGAAATCTTATTAACAAAACCTGTTCTGTTCTGCAACTTGGAAAAATTGAGTTGAGGAAACCAAACTTTTGAAAGAACGCATGCAAAGTTTTTATGCTTTTACATTCACTTGAAATAAATTAGTAAAATTGGGATATAAAAGACTGATAACAGTATATTTTTTTAAAGATTTTATTTATTTATTTGAGAGAGAGCACAAGCAGGGGGAGCAGCAGAGGGAGAGGGAGAAGCAGACTCCCCGCTGAGCAGGGAGCCCGACATGGGGCTTGATCCCAGGACCCTGAGATCATGACCTGAGCTGAAGGCAGAAGCTTAACCGACTGAGCCACCCATGCAGCCCATAACAGTATATTTTTAATACATCTCTTAAGTACTAGAAACTTCAGGATCTTCCCACAATTTCAAACATGTTTGTAATTTTCTTATAGGTAATATCCATAATACTGGCTTCTTTTTTCCATTTCTCCATCCAAGTGCTTTTTTTCTGATTGCGTGGTCCTAGAAATTCACTAAATACTTGGAATGGAAAAAACTTTAGGTAGCCTTTATTTAATACAGTTGGCATAGCTGACTTGGTCAGTTTCAAGTTTTGATTACAATGCACATGATCATATGTATTACCATTTCTTATACAACTATGTGGAGCCCTTGTACAAGCTAAGCTGCCAGCACCCTAGTGTACATGTCTGCTCCCTTCCTCCTGACCAGTGATTGCAGCATGCAGTTCTAAAGTGCTTGAGTTTACATTCCTTGACTGCCTTCCCTTGTCTGTATCCTACTCTAATTCCCTTTTCCTAATGCAGTGAAACATTTTGGTTAATCCAGGTCCCAGATCCTTGAATTGCAGGAAAAAGTGTTCAGTAAAGCCATGAATAATAGGATTTTTATATAAGGATAACTCAGAAGGAGAAGGGTTACTGGACAAGCAGCCCTAGCCTCATATACATGAGCTACTCATTTAATTTTAGAATGTCCTGGAAATCAGAGTTGATCTTGCGATAAAGAGCTAGGATTCTTGCTGCTGCTCAGTGTAATTAAAGTGCAAATGTCAGTCCATCTCAAAAAGCCTATTGAGCACAAACTGAATATTAAGGCTAGGCTCCAATTAGCATTTCCTGGGTTCCTGTAATGTGCCAGATATTGTTCATAGGAAAATAAATCCATAAGTTTCCACAAGGAGTTCACAAAGTGAGAGGGCAGTCTGGAAGAATTACGGTGGTGTGTGTTCAGGCTGTGTTAGAACTGTGCACAGTGTGCTATGAAACTCATGAAGGGAGAGATCTCCAGCCTGGGAAAATCACAGCTTTCCCGACTCCCAACTCTATACAGGAGCATAGGACAACTAGGCAGGGTCGGGGCACCCTGTCTTTGGAAACATTTAACTCTAGTTGGGATTAATCATGTTATTGGTTGTTAATGTCTTTGTCCTTCGCTGTCCTACATGTAAACTCCATCAGGACCGGGAATGTACTTTATTCCCCCTTGTCTTGTCCACTGCTGTCTTCTCATTGCTGTTTCACATGCTTGGAACTTAATAGGCATACCATAAGTATTTGTTGGTTGATAGATAAATATAAGAATAAATGGGATAGACATTGGACTGGCTTTAAGGAGAAATTAGTTTATGAGGTTGGCATCACTGGTAATAATTAGAATGTAAACCACTGGACAGTTTATCGGAAAAGGCAAGTATTTAGGCGAAAGTGGCAGGGGGAGGCTTTTAAAGACATATCAGACACAGTCGCTCACTACTGGGGGCGGGTGGGAGGGGTAGCAGTAAGGCTAGCTATGTTCCAAAGAGGTTTTTTGTTTTTTGAACTACATTTTTTTTTTTGTAAATTAGTTCTTTACCTATCGAATTATTTGGGGAATTCTGAATGGCTATAGCTTCAAGATACAGCGGTTTCTGAGTTACTTTTACGTTTTCTCTTATGGGCTAGTGACATTCCCCAAGGGACAAAACGACCGGAACTTGCTGGCAAGGAAAGGGTATGAAAATGCCAGGCTCAATAATTGCTGCGCCCGGCTGTTTCCGGGAAAGCTGATTCCCACGCTGGCCCGCCTCCGTCGCGCAGCCCCGCCTTGCGTGAGGGTCGCGTGGCCTGCGTCCCGCACCTTGATTGGCTGAGTTGGGACTGAGGGGGCGTACGTCTGCGGGCTCACGGGTGTCCTGTGCCGTGATTGGCTGCGGGTAGAGGGCCGGGGGCCGGGACAGCAGTGCTGGGAGAAATTAGCGGCCCTGTTGGGACCCTAGGCTTGGGTCATTGACCCCTCTTCCCAGGCCTCGGGAAGACGGCAGGCCACGGGGAACCTCGGCGGGGGGGAGGGAGGAAGGACGGAGCCAGGGACCCGGGACTCAGTGCGTCTTGCGCGGAGTGGACAGGTGAGTCGCACCCCTTTCTCCGCCCCCGGGGGGGGAGCCTCACCAGCAACAAAGCGGCCGACAGGCAGGGGTCTGGGGTCGCGCACCGAGAAACGGGACTCCCCGCCAGCCGCTCAGCCTCCCTGGCCTGGGCAGATGCCCAGGCGCCGGAGGTCAGAAGTTCCTCTGGACAAGCGCCGGCCCCACAAGATGGATGTGTGGCTGTCAATCATTCCCCGAGATCTTCCTTCGGTCCTCATTTTTTACTTCTTTATAAACATTAGGGTTAATTTGAAACTGTCAGCAGATCATACATGTTATAAAAGTAGAACTTAATTGAATTATTACTGATGTTGTAGAGCAGACTGTATTAAGTACGAAAACTGTGCATATTTCAGAAGTGAACTTATCTCCTCAGGAATGCTTAAGAAGCATGAAGTATCTGGGAATAGACCACATTGTGATTTAACAAACACTTGCCCAGAGCATTGCTGTGTAGGGCACAGGGTAAGAGCTGTACTCTGGAGCCAAGTTGGGTTTGAATCCAAGGTCTGCCCTGTTAGCTGAGCAACCTTGGGCAGGTTATTTTACCTGCATCTGTTTCCTCATCTTTAAAATGGGTTTTTGTGGTGATTTAATAACTTTTCTGAGTACTCTGTAAGTGGTTATGGTATTAACTCAATGTAGTCTTCACAGTCACCCAGAATGTAGTGTCCCTATTTTCCTGACACTCCAGCTGAGGCACAGAGAGATGATGTGACTTTCCCACGTCACAACACAACCAATGACCAGGAATTAAGTCCATACAGACCACAGTTTTACACACTACCTTAGGCTGCCTCATGAACTGGATTTGTTCATTCAGTTTCAGTTGACAAATACTTATTTTGTTCCTCTGTGGACCAAGTTCTTTGCTGGGTACAAGGGACAGAGAAGAACAGAACTCAGACCCTGCCCTCCCAGTGCTTGCAATCTAGTACAGGTTGTTTACAGCTGGGCTGCAGGGTGCCCATGAATCCTGGTAAAATCTTTTGCAAATGTTATGAGTACAGGTCTTTTCTTTTTTTCTTTTTGGAAAGAGACTCTGTGGCTCTTACCAGGTTCTCCAGTGGGTCTGTGATCCAAAGTTAGGAAGAAACATTGTGGCGGAACAGCTAGTATCTAACCTAATGCCTGACAACACAGCATGAGCTTAAAAAGAAAAAGAAAAACCACTGGTTGAATGGATGAAGAACTTTACAGGAGGTTAAGTGCTACAGTAAGGTTAAGAGCAAGATGCAGTGGAAAAGCACACACAAAGATCCTCCTTGTCCAGGAATGCCTCCTAGAGTCAGCAATGCCAGTGAAGTGAAGGGTAGGGAAGCAATTCATTGGAACATGGTGGTGATGAGTCTCTGCCCTCCTGGAGGGTGAGACAGAAACAACACATGAACAGCGGCTATGACAGGTGGCACAGAGGAGCAGTCCTGGTGCCATGAGAGTCTATAATGGGGACAGGAGACTTAGTCTATTCAAGATGGTCAGGGAAGTTTCCCTGAGAGAGTGACCCTCAGATCTAGGAGTTAGGGCCACTTTGGGCATGGGGAACAGCCCTTAGCCTTCAAAGACCCTGTGGTGGGCACAGGCAGAGCACCAGGGACTGAAAAGAACTGGTGTGGCTGGTGGGGTTGGGGGTGCGGCAGATGGGCACAGATTCGGGTAGTGACAGAGCCCAGACAGAGAGGCCTTTTAGACCATGGTGTAAGGCATTTGTATTTTGTTTTATGTCTTTATCCTAAAGTGCCATTGAAAAGTTTATTGCAGGGAGGTGACAAGATCACATTTTGAGAAGAAGTTGGAGAGAAGCCCAAGTGATTAACTGAAGCCCTGGATGAGGACAGGATCTCTGAGGAGAAACTGTAAGGTAAGAAGAAGAGAGGGTCTAGAATCAAGCCTTGAAGATGAGCCTGCAAAGGAGATAGATAAAGGGAAGTGAGAGTGTAGCAAGAGGGGGAAGAGAACTGAGAGTGGGAAGTCCTGGAAATCAGGTGAGAGAGTATTTCATGGAGAAAGTGGTCGACTATGCTGAAAGCTGCAGAGGTCAGAAGAGACAGGAACGAACAGACCTCATTGGCTCTAATCACATGGGAATTGTCTTTATTGGGATCTATATAAGTAGGAGAGGAATTGGAGAGAAAGAAGGATCTGCAAGAATTAACTGAGGGTAAGAGAAAATAGGGTTTTAGCTGGAGTGGCAGTGAGAAGATCCATTGAGCTGAAGGGTGGGAGCCCCAGAGGGAAGGATACAGCTGAAGGAGTGAGTATATGAGAAAAAAGGGCTCTGGAGGTGTTCAGGCCAGAGAGGTTGGGATCAGTACAGAAGCAGGGATTACCCTGGATGCTGAAAGGTATAATTGTAGGAAAGGGGAGATAGCAGAAGGTATAAGTTTGGTGTGATGAGTTGCTCTCCTTTCTTTGTACAGAGTAGAGGCGAGAGCATTGGATGAGAGTGGAGTAGGGGTCAGGAGAAGCTGGAGGTCCAAGCTGAGGAGATTTGACATCGTTGTGGGGGGTATGCAAGAGTGCATTGACCCAGAGATTGTTTTAGAATGGTCTGGCAGAGGGAGCCGAGTTTGCAGCAAAGAAATTAGCCTCCTGGCTCATTCAGGGAATTGCAAAATATCAGGAGAGTGAGGACAGAGGCTAGGTAGAATCAAAAGCTACATTTAATGTATAGTAAAGGAGACCTCACAAATCATGGGGAAGAAAAGGATTGCTCAAAAACAGTGCTTGGAGATAGCTAAACTATTGATAATCTATTTAGACTTTCAGCTCACACCAGAAATTTCAAGTGAATTAAAGGAGCTAACTTCTTAAAATCAAACAAAAATACAGAAGAACATATGGATGAATTTTTGTCTGACCATGTGGTACGTAAAAGCAGTAGGAATCATCAAGAAGAGGGAAACTTACATGACCCTTGCCCACTTAAAATTAACCACTTTGTTCTGACATGTGCTATACTCTGTATGAACTTTGAAGATGTTATGCCGAGTGAAACAAGCCAAATGCAACAGGACAAATATTGTATGACCACTTATATGAAGTACCAAGAATAGACAAATTCCTAGAGACAGAAAGCAGAAGTTACCAGGGGCTGAGAGGAGGAAAGAATGGGGAGTTATTGTTTAATGGGAACAGAGTTTGTGTTTGGGGTGATGAAAAAGCTCTGGAAATAGTGGTAGAGGTTGTACAACTGTGTGAATTTACTTAATGCCACTGAATTATATACCTAAAAATGGTAAAATTTATATCTTACCACAATAAAAAAATGTAACCACTTTGGTAATGCTGGAATATACCATTTACAACTGAAAGAGAATTGGAGAAAATCCAAAAACAAGAGGATTTTTTTTTAATATATGAAGAATTTATGTAAGTCAGTTTTTAAAAAACAGAAAGATTCCTGTTTAAAAAAGCAGGAATAGTTAACTCACAAAAGGAAATAAAGATGGCCAAAATAATTCATTAAGCTCAGCCTCATTAAAAGAAGAAAATGGAGTTAAATTAGTATTGTGTTCATTTTTCACATATCAGAATTAAAACTGATGAACCAGTCATACTGCTTGTGACAAGGTCAACTGAGATCTTTTTTCTGGATAGTAAATTAACAACCTAGCTCTTAAAATGTTCTCACATCTCTTTTTCAGTAATTCTCCTAGGGATTCATCCTAAAAATGATGAAATGTGGACAGATAATCAGCATATTACAAATACTACAAATAGCCCAAATACTCATTCTTAGGGAATGAATTACAGAATTACAGTGTATCTGTCATATGTCATGTACTCATTTTAAATGTTTATAGAGTGTTCTTGATGCCAAGTTTAGATACTTAGAGTGCATAAAATAAATCAATGTATATATAATTTGTGTTGATTATAGAGGAGTCACAACATTTGTGCTCTTCACTTTTGCAGTCAACTGTGTTTGCTCATCAGAGAGAGAATAAGAAAGAGCAAGATAGCGTTAATTGTGGGACAACTCACCGGGCACATGATGGTTCATCCTGGAGTAAGCAGGAAATGTGAGACGGCCTGCTTTACCCTCAGACTCATTGGGCAGAAGCATCTTGCCATGGTCCATGTGGTGCTAACATTTAACCTGTCATTTTGTATAGTGTAACCCCCACACTAAGCCAAATAACTTCATCTGGTGTTTAGCCAAACACCGGGATCTCCTTCAGTGCTGAGGAACCCCTTGCTGTGCTAGCCTTACTGGAAGACATTATGTCAGTATTTAGTGTGGTGCCTGCTTAAGACATTTTCAAGAAAAATTCTGAGTCTTCACAATTTCAAATTGTAGGCTGAGCTTAAGACCCTATTTCTCATATACAAGGTAGCCTTGCTTTATGTATTTAAAAATTAAAACAAGGGGCGCCTGGGTGGCTCATCGTTAAGCGTCTGCCTTCGGCTCAGGTCATGATCCTGGGGTCCTGGGATCGAGCCCCGCATTGGGCTCCCTGCTAGGCGGGGAGCCTGCTTCTCTCTCTCCCACTCCCCCTGCTTGTGTTCCCTCTCTCGCTGCCTCTCTCTCTGTCAAATAAATAAATAAAAATCTTTAAAAAATAAAAATAAAAATTACAACAAAAGGGACAAGAATCAGAAAAAAACAGACATGTATATCAGATATGAACAGTTGTGAAGGACTCTTCCACTTCCTTATTCTTAACCAACTGAGCCACCCAAGCGCCCCCCACTTCCTTATTCTTTTCAGAATTTGGCAAATTTCCTTTAGTGAGAGTATTGCTTTTATAAACAGTTATTTGGGACAACCAAAGCATTTAAAATAGTTTTCACAATTTTCACTTATTCTTTGTAAATAATGTACTTCTGTGTAAAATACAATCTAAAGTTGTATTAGTACAAGAATTTTAGCTCCAGGTTTTCCTAGTAATGGCTACTGTTTATTGAGTGCTTACTATGTACCTGTGCAAAGTATTGGACTCACAGTATCCCTGTAAAGTTTATGTACTTTCTTTCCCTTTTACAGATGGTACTATTAGTAGTCATACTTACTGAACATTTACAGTGAGGTACTGTTCTAATCACTACTTGTTTACTGACTTAATCTGAGGCTAAGTAACTTTCCCAAGATGACCCCATAAATTAGAACCAGGACTGAGCATGGACATTTTGGCGACAGAGCCCACGCTTCTTCCAGCATGTGGTACAGATGTGAGGCCCAAGACTGTGGAGTATGGGGCTCCAGATTAGATCTGCATGTACCCATCCTCATTATGTAGTATCTCCTCCTTCCTGTTAAAATCCATGGTCCTCCTAGAAATTTTGAAATAGCTTAATTAGGAATCCTCTAAAGGAAACTGGTATTAGGAATTATATGAACAAAACTCTGGTTGAACCACCAGTAGTAAAACAAACTGTGCCTACAATTATTTGGGACACCATGGGCACTAACAATGAGCTATTATTACAAATGGTAAACCAACTGAGAACATTGTTACTTGTTATTTTTCCTTAGAGAATAGCAATTTATTTGCATTAGGACAGGCTTGAAAGTGAAAAGTCCTTGACATATATGGTGATGGCATTATTAAGGGCAGAGATTGGATTATGGCTTTTTTCAACTTTCCTTCAAACCTACAAGTAATAAGGGAAGGCTATTGACTAGCTAAACAGTTAATGCTTTTGTGGCAGAGATGCGACACTTAACACTCTCAGCTACTAAAAGTTAAAACGGGGTGCCTGGGTGGCTCAGTGGTTAAGCGTCTGCCTTTGGCTCAGGTCATGATCTCAGGGTCCTGGGATCGACCCCTTGTCAGCTCCCTGCTCACTGGGGAGTCTGCTTCTCCCTCTTCCTCTACTTCTATCCCCCTCCCCCGTTTGTGCATGCTCTCTCTCAAATATGGTCTTAAAAAAAAAAAAAAGTTAAAACAACAAACTAGGCGGGGCCCCTGGGTGGCTCAGTTGGTTAAGCAACTGCCTTCGGCTCAGGTCATGATCCTGGAGTCCCAGGATCGAGTCCCAGGATCGAGTCCCGCATCTGGCTCCCTGCTCAGCAGGGGAGTCTGCCTCTCCCTCTGGCCCTCCCCCGCTCTCATGCTCTCTCTCTCTCTCATTCTCTCTCTCTTAAATAAATAACATGTTAAAATAAAACAACAATAACAACAACAAACTAGGCATGTTTACATTACCAGAGATAACAAGAAAATAGTGCCGAAGTCCATAATGCATTAGGCACAGTATAGCCATCTCTAGGGACCTGAAGCTGTCAAGTGGGGACAGCTGGTTAGACTTGTAAAAGTATGGTCCCCATTCCACTTAATTTGATTGCCCATTGCTCCACTGGGGCAGTCACATAGCATTCCTCACGTTATCTGGCTAAGACTTTAATTTTGGATTTATAAAAAAGATTTTCATATAATTCTCATAAAACAAGTTTATACTTACTAACTCATTTTAAATAAATTGACTTTGGATAATAATTATTCAGCAGAAATATTTACTCTAAAATATAAAATTAGAGATGACTCCCCTTCCCCAATAAGTGTTTGCTTCAGCTAAACATAAACTTGAAAATGTAAAATGTTAAAAAAAAAATTAAAAACCATGTGTGTGTGTGTAGAAGTAAAATATGTCTCCTAAAGAAAAACATAACAGAGTTGTAGGAAAGGGAATTTGTGTCAGAATAACATTTGAGATCTTTGAACTCTTCATGGGCTTGCTACTGATCTGTAAAATGGAAATTACTTCACAAGGTTGTGGCAAAGCTCACATAGACAATGTGTTTATAATGTATAAGATGTCTAAGTTGTGAAGAGGTATGTTAGTTTCTTTATAAATTATTTAAGAGTATATATGTAATATTCCACAAAAAGTTTGAGGCTAACTTTGGCAAAATTCAGTTTTCCTGTCTAATTTAAATCCATGTTATTTCTGTCTACTGCTTAGAGCCCAGATTTATTTTTGCATTCTAAAAGTCAATGCCCCTTATGTTAAAACCTGTGTTTTCTTTGTTACAGGTAGGCTGAGTACATTCTGAGTCCCCAGGACGGTGGGAATTAGCCAATGGACTGCCGGCATGCTGTGGAAATTGCTGATAAGCTCCCAGCCCTGCAGGCTGTGTTCTTTCAGAAAGATGCTCTCAGCTTCAAAATACAGACCCTCTTTAGCATGCTTCACCTATGCAACTGATCGTCAGTCAAACAAAGAAAATAAAAGAACAGTGGAAAAGCTCTATAAATTTTCAGTGGATATCAGGAAAATACGCAGATTAAAAGGATGGGTACTTTTTGAAGATGAAACCTATGTTGAGGAAATTGCAAATGTTTTACAACTGCTAGGTGCCAATGAAGCGGCTATAGCCAGTATTTTGGAACACTGCCCAGAAGCAATTGTCTGCAGTCCAACCACTTTTAACACCCAGAGAGAACTCTGGCAGTTGGTCTGCAAAAACGAGCAAGAGTTAGTCAAATTAATAGAACAGTTTCCAGAATCTTTCTTTACTGTTAAGGACCAGGAAACCCAGAAGCTGAACATTCAGTTCTTTCAAGAGTTGGGACTCAAAAATGTGGTCATTAGCAGATTTTTGACAACTGCATCTAATATTTTTCATAATCCTATTGAGAAAAATAAGCAAATGATAGGTATTCTCCAAGAGAGTTATCTAAATTTAGGTGGCTCCGAGGCCAACATGAAAGTTTGGTTACTGAAATTATTAAGCCAAAATCCATTTATTTTGCTAAATTCTTCTGCAGCTATAAAGGAAATACTAGAATTTCTTCAGGAGCAAGGTTTCACAAACTCTGAAATTCTCCAGCTTCTATCCAAACTGAAAGGATTTCTTTTTCAACTTTGCCCAGAAAGTATACAGAACAGCATTACCTTCTCTAAAAATGCTTTTAAATGCACAGATTGTGACCTGAAGCAATTAGTTTTGAAATGTCCTGCCATTTTATATTATTCTGTTCCAGTTTTGGAAGAGAGAATTCAGGGATTACTGAAAGAAGGAATTTCCATAGCTCAGATAAAAGAGACACCAATGGTGCTTGAATTAACTCCACAGATAGTACAGTACAGGATAAGGAAACTGAATTCCCTAGGCTATAGAATAAAGGATGGACATCTAGTAAATCTAAATGGAACAAAAGAAGAGTTTGAGGCTAACTTTGGCAAAATTCAGGCCAAAAAAGGAAGGCCATTATTTAACCCTGTGGCACCATTAAATGTGGAAGAGTAACTTGGGGACTGCTGCTGCTTTCTAGAATTGCAGAGTGAAGCTGAGGGGCAAAGACTTAAGTGAGTCAGGCAGTTTATAGGCACTAGTAATTTTAAGAAACTACTTAGCTTATGAGCTCTAAGTTACCTCTGAGTAGATAATCTCAGACTCATTTGCTATATTTTAAACTATAAACTGCATTTATTTTAAATAAAGTTGGTAATTTTTACCTTGAACTGCTATGTCAAAAAACTTCTGTACTAGTAAATGGCACATCAGAGTGATAACTTTATAAGTGAATCATTTCTAAGAAATTGACAAGTGCATTCCCTTAATTCAAAGTATGGATATGTTTTTATTTACATAGCACATTTCATCTGGGATATAGACCCAAGTCGTCTTCCTCACCACCAGCTCTGAAACACCATTCTACTGTGGTCTGAATCCTGTAGCTTAGTGTTAAGTGAAATTAGAAAACTTCCAATACATTTTTTTTTTTTTTAAGAAAAAGCTGATTTCATCTCTTGGTTGGGATAAATGAGTGCCTTTGAGAACCAAGTATTTCTCATTCAAAAAGAATAGAGCTTACTTGTGTGGTTAGTTTAAAACTGACCATCTCCTCTCATAGAACTCTTTTATGTGCATTCATTACTTTCCCCATTTTATAGATGAGGAAACAAGCTTAGAGAGTCCTGCCAAGTGACAGAGCCCAGATTTACTATGATCTGACTTTGTTCAAACCTGTGAATAGAAAAAGGATTGCTTTAAAGCCACACCGTGGGGTGCCTGGGTGGCTCAATAGGTTGAGTGTCAACTCTTGGATTCAGCTCAGGTCCTGATCTCATGGCTCCATGCTCAGCAGGAAGTCTGCTTGGATAGTCTCTCCCTCTGCCCTGTTCCCCTCTTTAATGCTCTCTCTCTCTCAAATAAATAAAGGAGTCTTTTAAAAAGAAAAGCCATATCCTTACCTGACATGCCAAAGGAGTACCAACAACAAACTTAGGGATTTTTATGTAAAATTCCTTAAATATGAAATGACCTAATTTTTTTTTTTAAGATTTTATTTATTTGACAGAGATAGCGAGAGCAGGAACACAAGCAGAGGCAGAGGGAAAAGCAGGCTTCCTGCCAAGCAGGGAGCCCAATGCAGGGCTCAATCCCAGGACCCTGGTATCATGACTTGAGCTGAAGGCAGACGCTTAACGACTGAGCCACCCAGGTGCTCCTGAAGTGATCTAATTTATATACATTTGAAGTAAGCAGCTTTTTAGAAAACTCTAAAAATCCAGGTCTGGCTCTGAACGGGAAAGCGTGTGATGGTTGGTACTGATTTTAGTAGCATTCCAAGTTTCTACTTCTAAATCTTGGTCCAAGATAAACATTATACAGATAAAGACTGGCTCACTTTCAGCTGTGGAGTTTGAATTTTGTAACAAATACACAACCAGACAGTTGACTCTGACAAACATCTGTATCCTACGTGTGCATGGCCTTTTCTTAAGTAATGAAAAACCTATTAGAAATGCAGGCCATGTCTTTATTCAGTAAGCAAATGCAAGTAACCCTCACTATCCAAATGTTTGGTTCCTTAGGGTAGTGAACGATACTCCCACGTAGCACCTACTGACTGCCAGGCATGCTGTACTTAGAACCCTTAGAGTTGGGTACCGCCATTTACTGCTACACAAGTGAGATGGAGGCACAGAAAGGGTGTCACCCAAAGTTAAACAGGAACGTTTGTTTGAGCAAAAGAATGGCAGGCAGCAACAGCTGGGGCAGGACTGTCAGAGTGGGACAGGATGAGTGTCACCTGTCCATCTAAGGAACAGGATCTTGTTCTAAGTGTGATGGGAAACCTTCAGAACCTTTGGAAAGAAAGTGGTGTTCCAGAGCTGGTGGTGAGGAAGACGACTTGGGTCTATATCCCAGATGAAATGTGCTATGAAAAGTTCGCTTGTTGTCCTGACATAATTATCAGTGGTGTGCTTATCTTCCACTCTCAGGAGTGGCCTAGTTTGGAACAGATTATACATTTATATGGTTACCTTAGTTCTAGTTCATTTTATTTTGAGATGCCTACTAAATATCTGCAAGGTCTGGAACTGTGAGAAGTCAGAACAGGAGATAGATATTCAGGGATCATCTGTGTTTCAATGATGACTCTAGGGGCGCCTGGGTGGCTCAGTCGTCAAGCGTCTGCCTTCGGCTCAGGTCATGATCCCAGGGTCCTGGGATCGAGCCCTGCATCAGGCTCCCTGCTTGACGGGAAGCCTCCTTGTGTTCCCTCTCTCGCTATCTCTCTGTCAAATAAAATCTTTAAAAAAAGCTATGACTCTAAATGAGATTGCCCAGAAATAATTATAGATTTGTAGTAGTGGCTGGCCACACCTGGAAGGAGTTGACCAAAAGAGGTCTGCCGAGAAAAGAGGGCATGGCCAATAATATTGAATGCCATGGGATGGTCAATTAAGATATAGATAAGTGACCAATGGATTTGGCAAAAAGGAAATCATTGGTTGGCCTGTCAAGAGCGATTCTGGTGCAACGAGAAAGGTAAGAAGGAAACTGGAGCAGGTCTCGGGAACAGGAGATGAGTAAGATGCAGAGACTGTATAAAGTTTCTCAAAAATACTGCGAAGGGAAGCAGGAAAATGATGGTTGTAAGATTAAGCATAATTTTTCTTTAAAGAAAGCAAATACCAGAACATGTTTATATGCTGATGAATATGACCCAGGAGAGAGACAGGGATGAGATGGAAAAACTGCAGGATATAGCGGACTGACTTGGGATCAGAGCAGAGATCGTAGTCCTGGTCCACAGAGCATGGGGACGGATGCAGGCAAGGTGATGGGGTAAGTGGTGTGAGAGGAGAGTTGCTGTCAGGTTGCCTCTTACAAAGGGCAGTAGGATGGGAGGGGAGTACTGCAGGAGGGCTGGAAAGAGAAGTGTTGTTTTGAGGAATAAGAAAATGAACATACAAGAGGGTATATAAGAAAGTTTGGCAGGGTTGAGTGGCCATTAATTTGTAAAAAGCCTAGGCAGTACATCAGCAAAATTGTGCTCAGGTCCAGGCGTGGAAAACCAGAGGCAGTCACGGTTATAGAAATACATGTGTAGCTTACCTGACTTGACAAGATTAAATTTTTAGAAAATTTGGCCATCATGGCCAAACATAGTCTACGGACTTTATTTTCCCTTAGACCAAATCCTATTCCATTAGTTTTTAGCCCTTGAACCTTTCTGCCTTTTTCCATAATTGCATTCTTATTTCTGTCTTCCTAGAATAAAATTTGAAATCTTCAAAATCAACAATATAGCAAGGAGAGACAGCCTTACATAAAACACTAGAGTCAGATTTTATTTCCTCCATGGAAAAAAAAAGGCTCTAATAACAAAATTATTTCAACAGTTTACACAATTCATTCCTGTGGCAAAATGTAATTAGCTGCCAAAATAAATGATTACCTTTAAGACTTCCAGGGAACTCAAGTTAGCCTGGGAAATCAAGCGTATAGTCAGCACTGACTGCCAACAGCAGAATGAAGTAGTGGTTACTGAGTAGCCCCATTTCTGTTTCTGGATATTAACTGGAGAAGTTGTGACTTACTCGAATTCAAAAGTGATAATGGGGGGCGCCTGGGTGGCTCAGTTGGTTAAGCAACTGCCTTCGGCTCAGGTCATGATGCTGCGGTCCAAGGATCGAGTTCCACATCGGGCTCCCTGCTCGGCGGGGAGTCTGCTTCTCCCTCTGACCCTAATCCCTCTTTTTTTTTTTTTTTAAAGATTTTATTTATTTGACAGAGAGAGACACAGCAAGAGAGGGAACACAAGCAGGGGGAGTGGGAGAGGGAGAAGCAGGCTTCCCGCGGAGCAGGGAGCCCGATGCGGGGCTCGATCCCAGGACCCTGGGATCATGACCTGAGCCGAAGGCAGACGCTTAACGACTGAGCCACCCAGGCGCCCTACCCTAACCCCTCTTATGTGCTCGCTCTCTCTTTCTCTCTCAAATAAAATCTTTAAAAAAAAAAAGTGATAATGGGAAATTGCTAACACGGAAAGCCTGTTTCGTATTTGTAAAAAGAGGTACTTCCCCAGCACTGACTAAATCAGATAATGTATGGACAGCACCTGGCAGGTAAGTAGATACCCAGTATATATCCATTTTCTACCTTCCTCCAACTGTTTCCCATCTCTTTGAGTCACTTCTGTCTAGTGAGGGGTGCAAGTTGGTTCCATAGTTACTTAGGACAGAGTAAAGTGCTCTCTACTTCTCCATCAGATCCCAGATGGTAGACAAGAATCACCTGTGGAGGCTGTTAAATTGCAGTCCTCGGCCCCACCCTGCAGAGATTCAGAAAGTTGGGGTAAAACCTAAAAATCCGCATTTTTAATCTTCATCAGAGTTGACTAAAATATATTTGCATTTCATTGTCTTGGTATCAAAATACATATTTGAAGATGTTTTGTCATGTTTGTGCATTAGTATCAAAAATTAAAAACTGACTACAGTACTTTCTGAACTATAAAAATTCTAAGACTGCCCTGTTTTTCCTTTAAATTTCCTTTATTTCCTTAGATCTTTATGAAACATTTCATCTTTTGTAGATCATAGTGTTTTATTAACAGATTTATGTATTCTTTTCCCATTCCTTTAATACAAAAAAAATTTTATTAATCACCAGTCATCTTCATCTGACATTTCACTAAGTACAGGATTCATGTCAACATTATTAGATCATTCAAGTGGGTCACACAAGTTCATCCTCATTGTGCCAAATTCCCACTCAAAAGATACATTGAATAACAGACGCCTCCAAGTGTATGTATCAACCGTAGTTTCTTGAAGTGAACCAGTACGGTTTCACAGGTCAAGCTGCTAAGTCTACGCAAATAAACTGGAAAAGACTCGTGTACAGCTGTACGTATCATCAAATGGCAAGTTCATTGCAACAAGAACCTCTATAACTAACCATTCATTTGTACACTTCTCTGCCATCCTTGCAAAAGCCTCCCCTGAATAAAGTTATAGTTCAGAGTTTAAAACAAACTTGATGAGCTAAAATGTACCAGGTGGCTTTTCTACCAGGTGGCAGAAATTACAACCATTTTTCCTCAAGCAATTTTAAAGACAAGCAAGGTTGAAAATAAATATGCAAGCACAAAGTAAACTAAAGTCTGTATTTAGAAATTCAGGTACAAAGCACAGCAGAGCCTATGACTATAGAAGATAAATTAGAAATATAAACTAGCAATGAAGCAATAATTTCTTTCAAATAGCAGGAA